GCATTAGCATACAGCCATAGCAAAATAAGACAATACAAAAATGTTGGGGACAAGCAACCAAGCAAAATTCAAAGCGATATTGCTGGCGTAATGACATTTAAAACACCCTAAGACAATAATACAGAGATTTGGTTGCCAGCGCCAAAAAACTAGTATGCGGATATAAATAAAGCATAAAATGGCCCCAAAATAGGCTCAGCACATTGAGTTAAAAAGGTAATAAAAGAATTAAACAGGTCCAGGACTAGGGCACACTACCCTGTCAGAGTAGCCCTGAGTTTCAGAGCCTGCACTATGAAGATTGCCACCCCACGTGAAATTTGGGGATTTGCGTCCACAAGAAGTGCTTTCAGACAGTCTTCCTTAGATGAAATGGAGGACGGGATCAAGAGGAGGAGCTTAGGTCTTATTGGGTCATAAATAGGGCAGTAGAAAAGAAATGTATGAAGTCCTCTACTTCATTCATTGTGCATGGACATAGACGCTGAGTAATAGGGGTCTTAGAGTAGGTCCCCTGCAAGAAGGCCGTGGGTATAGAATGAAAACGGGCCATTGTAAACGCTCTTCTCAAATTGGGCTCCGTCAGGTCTATCAAGTAGTTGGCAAGTGATCTTACCACTTTCACTTTAGGGAGCCACATGGAGAGGCGAGCTGAGGTGGACTGTGCCCGGTCCATGGCCTCATCTCTTATAAGAATCCAGGCCCGGATTTTATGTTGGTCCCAAGATGACAACGTGTCGAATTCTGGGAGGGAGTAGCGTACAGTAATAGTCTCCATGGCCTTGGACCATTTGTTGGAGTGAGAACAAGTTAAAAAGGCTTGCCTGGCTAGTAGGGAACCTGGGGCATTGATTAATTTGCAATAAAAACTAATAATTCTAATGTGGGCTCTCGCAACAATGGAGGGAGGCCCAGTTCTGTTCTTAACTGAGCAGCAACCGAGCCCTTGGGGAGACCCAGTATCTTTCGTGCAAAAGAGTTTTGTAGAATCTCCAGCCGTTGTAGTGTTTTTAAATTCCACCCCCAGATTTCAACCCCATACAGTAACATCGGGAGGACTTTGCTAATAAATGCTTTTCTGATTGGTGGAACCAACTGGCCGCCTTTTGCATAGAAGAATTTCTCCAAGGCTTTGATGGTTCTACGGGCAGCCAGGATGGTCATATTTAGGTGAGCTGACCAGCTAAGCCCATGCTGAAAAGTGATTCCCAAATACTTGAAAGCTGAGCAATATTCAATAGAGTGGCCCTCAAAGTTCCAGAATGACTTCCGAGTTTTCGTGCCAAAAGTAAGAATTTTGGTTTTGGCGAAATTGATTTTGAGGGAATTGGTATCACAATATGTCATGAGCCCTCTGAGCATGTTGTTTAAGCCCTGCTTGGTTAAAGACAGTATCACCATGTCGTCCGCATAGAGTAATATGGGGATCTTGAGCTGTTGTAGAGAGGGGGCAGATTGATTTAGGGCCTGCATAGTTGTAACGATGTCGTTGATATAGAAATTGAATAGAAAAGGGGCCAAGAGGCAGCCCTGTTTGACCCCTTTATTCAGAGGGAAAGAATCAGAAAGAGCTCCCAGGGGGCCGAATTTTACTCTGGCCGATATGTCATTATGAATTTCCATAAGAAGAAGGAGGAGTCTCTTATCTATGTTGGTGTAACTAAGCTTCTGCCATAGCCTATCTCTGGGAATGGAGTCAAAAGCGGAGGTCAGGTCCACAAAAGCCGCGTGTAGTTTGCAGTTAAACCTGTTTAGGTATTTATCAATCAGGGTAAATAGAACAAGACATTGGCCAGATGTACTGTGACCTTTACGGAAGCCAGCCTGTTCCGAGTGGAATAGCTTTGTTTCTTCTGCCCACTCGATTAATTTCTCTAGCAAGAATCTAGAGTAAACCTTGTATGATATGTCTAGCAGGCTGATGGGTCGATAGTTACGCGGATCTTGTGGGTCCCCCTTTTTATGTATTGGGATGACTATGCTCTGTTTCCAATTTGGCGGGATCTTAAGAGTGGCATTAATAGTGGTAAAGAGAGATGCAAAAATAGGGGCCCACCACATCTGGTTCAATAAGAATACCTCGGGTGGAATCATATCCTCCCCGGGGATTTATCCCCTGATAACATGCTAATTAGTTGTACACATCTCTCTGGGGAGACTGGCTCCCAGGTGGGCAAGGCAGATGCAGGAAGAGTGGAAACTGCGTTTACGTCGGAATCTGGGGCGGAATACAGCTGAGCAAAGTGAGAGTGCCAACTGGCTGCTGTGATGTTATTAAAGATTAATGATGGGGGTATTAAACCTTCATTAATTAAATTCCATTATTTATTGTCCTCACGGGTTTTAATGGGCACTGACAATGCCGTCCAGCGTTCTTTCGCAAAGATCAATTTCTTATGTTGGAGCAACTTCTTGTAGTAAGAACGGAATTGGGCTAACTCCTGATTTTGCTCTGGGTGCTGTCTGATTTCATATCAGACTGAAGAGATCTAAGCCTACTTCTGCACTGTTTGCATTCTTGGTCGAACCAAGTTTGATTCTTCCAGGTTAGACTCGCACGGGAGGGTTTCGTAAGTGTTGGGAGCAAGTAGGCTAGAATTTGTTGGAAACTTGAGAAATGATTCACATTCATTGTTACCAGCTGAGCTTTCAGGGCTAGGATCTCAGGGGAATTTAGGAGGACTTTTATGTCTTGCTCCAGATAGATATCCCACTTCTTACGACCGGGGCTAAGGTCAGTGAATCCTGGAGGAGGAGTGAGCTGGGGAGCCCCAGCTGTGTGTGGTGGAAGGAGATGGCAATAGGAAGGTGGTCACTTTCGGTTCTGTTGAACACATTGAAACAATATGCCTTATCATTAAGTGCCGAGGAGGACCAGATATAATCTATAACGCTTGCCCCTCTAGATCCTAGAAAAGTATAGCATCCCCCGGACCAGTCTTTGGGTGTACCATGCAAGCTGTGCAGCCCGCAGTTAATGGTAAACTCCAGCAGTATGATGCCAGCCCTATTAATGGTCTTGTCATGTGAATTCCACGTAGGAAACCACTCCTCTTCTATGAATAGTTGCGACTTATCGGTGAATGAGCTTATATCTGCTCCGATTCTGGCATTAAAGTCCCCCATTATGAGGATCTCTGACTTTGGGAATTCAGCCACAGATTTATCAAGGATAAATCTTAGATCCTCCCAAAACCGATTTGTATGGGAAGAGGAGTAGGTAGATGGATTGTACAAGTTAACACATATGAAGTCCCCAACCGGGCTGTTAGTGATGTGCAAAGTTTGAATACAATTACTCTCTAACCAAAGGAGAGGAGAGATATTAAGATGAAGCTCCTGCGAAACAAATGTTACCAGGCCTCCACTAGGGCGCCCATACAAATGTGTTTTGGTCGCAGGAATCACAAAAGCATCATAGCCCAGTAGGGAAGGGGGGGGTGACGATTCTAAGCACCAGGTCTCTTGTATACCCATAATCTGGAATTTCGCTAAAAACTCTATCATATCCCCGCCATCCTGTTTGGACGTCCATCCCGCCACGTTCCAGGATAGCACATTGAAGCAGTTTGGGGAGGGACTATGTGCTAGTCAGATACTCTGGTTGCTGGTGGAAGAAGCATTGCCAAGGGTCTGAGACCGCGCCAGGCGTGATACAGCCGAAGGTATCGAAGGGGTGGTAATTTGATTGATGTGGCCAGCAGGGTCTTCAATAAAGCCTGAGCTGTCTCTTTGCACAGTGGCTTCCTTAACGTTTATATATTGGCTTGAAGAGGTTACGGATACAAGAGGTTCTACCAAACGAGGTTGACTGACAAAGGACGAGGATATACAGTCATCTGCCTGGACCGCACTGAATGAGGACTCCAGGTCAGGCATGGAAGAATAGGACATTGACAGATTACCTGGATGAATGGTGTTTGGCATATTGCTCTTTAAGGCGAGGGACGAGGTAGTTGATTGCAAATCTATTAGTAGAGGTGAAGAGGGTCTGCGTTGCGACGGTGTATGAGGAGCTTCCGCCAGGCAGACTGCCATATCATCCGTTATTGGAGTCCCAGTGATTGGCAGGGGTTTCTGGGGTGTTAGCCCCTTCATGACTGCGTTCCTTTGATTTAATAGGTTGCTATGACCAGGTTTTGAGGAGATTTTCTCTTGAAGTACATGTGTAAGTTGCTGCTTGAGTGTATCAAGCCTGTTTATAACTTC